CTTCTATATATATATATATATATATAGAGAGAGAGAGAGGAAAATGCTGAGGTTAGCCCACTAGCTCATATCAACATATGAGCCTAATGGCCCAGATTGAACCTGAGCCAATTTGATGGTCACGACCTCATTTTGTATTTTAATTTTAATGGTTTTTTACAAATCCAAATAACTTGAAATTTTAAGCGTGCATTCAATACAAATTGGATAATCTAATAAAAATATCAAAAAAATAAATTTCAATAAATAACTTGATCAAAATACCCCTGAAATGTTTACGGGTTATTTTGATCAATTTATTTTTTTTGCTAATTTTTTTAAAATATTTTTATTAGGTGCGCTTTAATGAGAAGAATGGACACTTAAAATTTCGAGTTATTTGGATTTGTAAAAAGAAATTAAAATTCAAATACGAAATGAGGTCGTGACATTTTGATTAGCCTAGATTCAATCTGGGCCGTTGGGCTCATAAGTTGATATGAGCTAGTGGGCTAACCTCAGTATTTTCTATATATATATATATATATATATATATAATAGAAAAGGAAATATGTGCTGAAATACCTAATGCCTTCTGGACTAGGAGAAAACATGTGGTAAGCCTTCCTTATGAAGAAAATTTTAAAGAAGATAAAATACCTACTAAGGCAAGGCCTATTCAGATGAATCCCAAACTTCGGGAAACTTGTAAAAAAGAAATAGATGACCTTCTACAGAAACAGCTCATCAGGAAGAGTTTATCTCCTTGGAGTTGTTCGACTTTCTACGTTGAAAAAGCCTCAGAAAGGAAAGAGGCGCACCGAGGTTGGTAATAAATTTATCTTTATATCTCTTTTTATCTGGCTTATTAGATACTGATATGGTGTTATATCCAAACTGCTCACAGAAGTCTCCTAGTTCCTTTTTTCCCGTGATTCTTTGTTTATCAAGTTGTCTTTTTAATTTTAAATCAGTGCAAAGGGCAAGTCCTTCTGAGCAAATTTCTGCCGAAAGTTCTCCTAGAGTATATAAAGAATAGGGAATTATACCTCCATGTTTATTTTTCAACCTAGTTTTTACCTTTTCAGCAAAAAGGTAAGGTAATCCTCTTATGAATTTCTCTTTCCAATGATCCGCACTACTATCCTCCCGGGAAAGAAGACAGGAAAAGAATACGTCTTTATACCATTTGTAGTGGGATAATGTTGGACATCTTAGATTGGATAAAAGGTCTTCTGATCTGGCATCTATCAGTGAAGTACTACCTACAAAGTGAAGAGTTATGGTATAAATGAGTGTATTGACTGCATCACTCTCACTCTGAACTATATCCTGGTTGTATTCATTTTTTATAGTCCATTGTTTTGTAGCACTTAATATTTGTTGTTTGGTGGTTTCACTCATATGGAACTCACCACACTCTTAGCCATCCAGTAAAGCCACATACAATGGAGTGTAACCCAACACCTATTTGAAGCTAATCTTAGTAAAAACAAGTATAGAAGAGAAGTAAAACAACATTGTCAACCAAAGAGATATTTACGGAGTTTAATATAAAGCAAAACAACTAATGTGATAAGCAATAATATAGGGGATATATCAATGACTATCCAATTAATAGAAGTATCTGATCTAAATCTTATACTAAAACAAACTTTATTTGCATAAGGAAGAAAGGCAGTACATAGAAATAAACTTTTACAGGAAGCACTTACATGGAACAGATACAGAAACTTGAGAAGAGTTTCCACTCCTCAGGACAATAACTAGGTATACAATCACACATATACTCACAATCACTCAATTTACAATATTTCAGGGAATAAGGAGAAAAGAGAAAGTATAAGTAGAGAGTTTAGAGTAGGGCCAGATTAAGATGTAAAGAGCAGAGAAGTGACTCAGAATACTTATAAAAGGATTATCAGAGCTTGAAGGTTTATAGAAAGTATGAAAAGAGCTTTTTAAAGTTCTAAGAATAATAATTTTATGAAAGCATAAGATTGAATAAGGTATTACCCGAGCTTGGAGTGGACTTGTAGTAGAGAGGAAAGAACCACAGAAGAAATGGATGAGAAGAATACGAGCTGTTCTTCTAAAAGAGTTGCAGATGGGAAGAGAGAATCTAGAAGAGAGAAATTCTTAAAAGAGAATAAAAAGAGAGAAGAGAACGCAAAACTAAAAGAGAAGACTCCTTCGGATGCCTGTCTTCCTTGGCCTTCCTCTCTTATATAGACGACGGATGCGAATATTTTATCAAATTGCATTCAATCAGGTGCCACGTGAAAGGTGTGAACAAGATCCTTGAGCTGACCGAAAGTGGGGGCACAGTCTCGAGGTGACTTTAAAGGTGTCGGCAGCATCTGGGAATAGGAAAAGGTGAACAGTATTGTTGGTGGAATAGTAAAAGGTGCATTATTTTGTCGGTATTTTGTCTGGTAGCAGTATTATGGCAGACAACTTGCATTTAATGGCAGACATCTTTTAATGAGGTGGCCGACAGCTTTTGATGAGGTACAGATGGTCTTTTCAAGGGGATAGCTGATATTATAATATCCTGGGTTTTGGATATTTTCGGGTTTTGGCCCGGGGCTTTTATTGGGAAAAGTCTATTGAGGGCTGAATTAGTCCACAGTCTTCATTTTCCATGGAGTAGTCTTCGTCATTTTGGGTGGAAGTTGACATTTCTTCTTCGTCTTCAAACATTTGTAGCAACTTCTTTTTTAGGTCTTCTTTCATTGCTGTGGGGTTTTGCTGCTTCATCTTATTGATATATTTGGCAAAGTTACTGGGTTTTGCCTCTAGGGTTTGAGTAGGGACATTTCTTTGAATAATGTTTTCTGGATCGATAACTTTGTTGTCATATACGTCCCACCATTTGATATAAATCTTTTTTCCTAATTTTGGGATATATTCCCAATCATTAGTAGAATTATCAGATATTGCAAAGGTCCATTTCATTATCCAAGGAATTTGGTAATATGCCATGAAATATAAATGGTGATCTATTTGGGGGTTGTTATTATTAAATTCTGCAAACTTGGTTTGAGAACTTTGTATTTTAGAAGGGAGAATCTTTGTTCCAGATCCTCAGATCTGAAACCAATTCCTGAACCAGTTAGGAAATCTTTCCACAACTGGCAATTTTATCTGAATGAACCAGGTGTGTGAATTATTATTATTTTGGAGAGAGAAAACTTTGTGCCAAGCGTTTACATATTCAGAATACTTGTAATATTTATTATTAAACTCTGGTGCATTTAATTTTCTACTTCTCGTGGGATCCATTCCCCATTCTCTATAGGTTATTATTTTTCTTATCTGAAATTTTGAGTATGCAACTGTATTAGTATTTCTTGGATAAAAATGTACAAGAGTTATGGAACCTGTTTCCAAAAGGATTGCTTCGTACCATTCCCTTGTTTTATTACCATTAGACGGGTTTAGGTGATTTATTAAATATTGGCTGGCTATACTTGCTGGATCCACATCCAAATGGGTACTTTAACTGGAGTTTGAGAAGAGATAAGTTCTTGAGCTTGTCTTTTTATTATTTGGTTGGGAGTGGCAGGAGAAATTATTAGAGGTTTTCCTTGGGGTGGTGATGGAACGATGTCCATTTTCTCTTTGCCTTTATTTATATTTGTATGAGTATGAAGTATCATACGCTTATCACTCTCTCGTTCCCCCCTGCAAAAATTCATGGGGGAGAAAGTCAAGAAGGAAGTTAGTAAGGCCTTTTATATGTTCAATATCAAAATCAAACGAGGAAAGTATTGCTTGCCAACGGCCAAAAATTTGTTTAGAGACTAAATTCTTAACATCTTTAAGAAGAATATCTTTCGTCGCCTTACAATCAGTCCGAATTAAGAACTTTTAGTTAAGCAGGTCACTTTGAAATTTTGTAACACAATGAACAATAGCGAGGATTTCTTTCTTAACCGTTGAATAATTTTGCTGAGTAGGATTCCAAGCTTTAGAAGTAAAGCGGACTAATTGTTCTTTATCAGAGATTTTTTGTTTCAAAATT